GGCCCGCTCACCATCATGATGGTCCTTAATGATCATGAGCAGAGGGTCAGGGACTCCGAAAGCACGAAGAACAACCCAGAGCCTAGGCCTACTGATGGTATCATAGGCCGTGACCAGGTCAATAAAGCAGAGATGTAGGTCTTGTTGGAAATCCCTACACCTCTGCTGTAGCAAACGGACAGAAAATATGGCATGTGTGCATGACCGTCCTTTCCTGAAACCGCATTGGGGCTCCACAAGCCTCTCTTCAGCGTGCCTAGCAAGGCGATGTTGAATAATCCTTGCCAGGACCTTTCCTGGCACACTGAGGAGTGAGATGCCCCTGTAGTTGTTACAGTCTTTGCGGTCCCCCTTCTTAAAGAGGGGGACCACCAGGGCATCCTTCCAATTCTGCAGAACCTGTCCAGTGGTCCAGACTGTTGTTATGATGTCATGTAGGGCAGTCTTGCACAAACGCCACCCTCCCTCAGCATTTCGCTTGGGAGATCATCTCTGCCCGGTGCCTTTCCTGGTCTCAGACTCTGGATCGCCCTCAGTACTTCCTCAACAGATGGCACTCAGCCAGACGCTCATAGGGGGTGACTTCTTCCAATATTTGAGGCACCGCAGCTTCGGCAGGGTCATCCCCACTTTTTCCCACGTTGTTATCCAGGCTGAGGGATGTCCCCTACCCCAGGACCTCACAGAATGCTCAGCAAATCTGCAAACCTGTTCCTGGGGGTCGGAGATTGGATCACCATTCTTTCCCCTAATGATGGTAATAGGTGTGGCACTGCTGGTTACTTTTTTGATGGAATTAAAGAGCGATTTGTGATCACGGGCCACTGAGGCCGACTCCATCTCCTCAGCAACCCGCGACCACCACCCATCCTTGCAGCGCCTCACGGCTCTTCGAACCTTCGAGCAAAGGCTGTGGTAAGCCTCCTCAATCTCCGACGTGGGATGCTCTAGCCGATGAGAGTGGGCCTGTTGCTTTTTCTCAGCCAGCTTGAACACCTCCTCTCTCAGCCAGGGTCTCTGGGGAGGTCTGGACCGTCTACCCAAAGCAGCCATTGCAGCTGCATGAGCCACAGTCCTAAACCTCGCCCATTTCCCCTCGACATCAGGAGTGGGGGACGATGCCAACCGCAGCTGCAAGTGATGATGAAATTCTCACTTTCAACTTTGATCAGCTAGCTGAGGCCATGCTACTAAGGGTTTGAATGGGGTCCTGGGTGTTCACCCACCACCGGAGTGGAAGAATGGCAGACGCATCTTACAGATGACAAGTCGATGGTCAGTGGGAAGATCAGCTCCACGGTAGGTCCTGGTGTCAAGGACAAAGACAGACAAACACACACATACACGGGGCACGCGCACACAAACACAAACACTTCAACGACAACGATCCCCCATATAGTCTTAACAGACTGTTGAAGAGCAGCGCCTATGAAGGCCGGCACGGCACACGAGGGGGTGAGTCGGCAGCACCACGCCTGGCCACCATTCATCATCATTGACTCCCCAGTGGCGATGTTTACACACATTTGAGGTTGCATCGACCTAGGAGAGGCACAGAACCCATTCAAGATAATCGTCACTGGTGTTGGTCACTCGGGTCGCTGGGATTGTAGCGCAGCACGCTGAACATTGCACTACCGCTCCCCACACACAAACACGCACGGAGGCACGCGCGCACGCACGCACGCAATTCCATGCACTTTCACACACTCACTTTCACATACACACACGTGAGCGCAGGCGCACACACACACGCACAACTCCTATGGTTTCTCCTGGAAATCCTTCAAACGGGCTCCCTATCTTATACGTCTTGCCAGTAACAGTCAATTTGATATAGCCAAAGGGTTGTAAACTATAGTTATTGTTTGACAATCTGTGCCTGCTTTCTTTAATCACCCTGAGTAACATTTGTCTCTTGTACTGCTTTAAAGGGCAAACAGTGAACATATTATGTTAGGATTGTTTTTAATGCTAATAGCTTCGATTCATTTTTTGTGGTCCTTTATTTTAGGCCAGATGCGCTATCTCTGCCACAGATGTCACAAACAGGATGGGCTACAAGAGGCAAGATTAAGGCACCCCTATCTTACAGGGCCGCCAACAACAGCCTTGGGCAAACTGGCCAAGCCGATGCCCCAAGTAAGCATTCAAGGCCCCTGCTCGGTTTTCAATTGTCTTATGTACAATTTATGGTAGTTTTCTATCTTGTGTAGACAGTGTTGGTCAATTCATAGGCCTAATTGTATCAGAATTGTATTTGTATAAGCTTTTTAGAAATTGTCACAGATTTTCACACAATGATTGACTAATGTGTTATGACCGTAAACAAATATACCGATAACGTTTGAATAATTGTTGCACATTTATATGGTTAGTACATAACATAACTCAATCAAGCTGTGCATAGGAAGTGACCATCACAAAACGAAATAGAGCCCTCACCATGAACAAGACAATTAAGCATTCAATTAGGTTTTCCAGGTCAAAGTAAGCATGGGGCGGAGCCAGGGGGGGTGACAGGGGTGACATTCTGCGTATAAGTGTACGACACTCGGTCTAGCGGACTCCGTGCAACTGCATTGTCAAAGTGTGTCGCCAACCGATGGCGTCTAGTTCAACAGCCTGACTCTCTAATCATTCTTGAAATTAACATTTGTTGAATGTCACCCTGGCCTGAAATCCTGGCTCCGCCCCTGAGTAAGTAAGCATGTATAATTGTGCAGGTAGTGACAGAGATGTGTTTACAGAGGGACGCCGCTGGAGCCATGCACTTTCAAATCTAGAGAACTGCTTTTTGTGTTTAGTTTGTTGTCCTTCCCCCGAACCTCCGATTATCACGGTTGGTTACATACGGTGAAAAAAGAGGTTCAACATACGTACATTTTTCATCCAGCTTATAGATTTATAAAAATGTCACTGCCATGCTATAACAGCAGGGCTTTTTTAAAAGTACAGCATGTCCCTCGTTTTGACGAGGTAAATGTTACATGGAGTGATTCACCGCTTTCTGTTGGAATTGGGAACGGATACTCATCACGTGACATGATGGGCACATTTGTAATAAAATTGGAGGGCAAAAAGCGTTTCATTCCAAGTTTCACGCGTGTATCACTGTGCTATGGCTGGAATGCCAGCGGTGGAAGTATCGAAACTAGGCATCGGATGAGTGACGCTTGAGTTGAGCAACGTTTTTAGCAATGAAGTATTGGGCAATGAACAGACAGAACTCGTGATAGAATGCAACTTAAATGCAGTAGAGACTTGTCCTATTAGTCTCCATTTCTCGTCAAACACACCAGAATTATTACCGGTAAGTATTTTGCATCAAATACAACGATTTATGTTTGCCAAGTTAATTTTGGTTTAGGCTATATGATAATTTGACTCTCCCCCCCCTTCCTTGCCCCGCCACCATCCAACACAGCCAAACTAATAATTTGTCACGTGTACAAAGAGTTTAAACCACGGTGGTGAGATGTTACCTTCCTCGCCTGGGATACAGGAGGTCGTGGGTCTGATGACGACCCTAACGACGCCTGTATATTTGGAATGTATGTTCTCCCTCGGTCGCGTGGATTTTTCCACAGGTCCTTCGGCTTGTTTTCCTCCACATATGTTCATATTATTTGGCTGCTATAATTTCCCACATATGACAAGTTGCCATGTGTGGCCAGGTCGCCTCTGAAAAAGAGTTAATGGAAAGAATAATATGACGGTGAGGTATAGGAGGTCACACGCCCCAGGCTGATGAGCATTCCATCAAAGATTTGCAACCGTGGAGGGATGTTAGCAAGGCCTGCCGAGTCAGAAGTCTTGTTTACCTCCTCTCCAAAATTATAAATAAATTGCTCCCTCGGAATGGAGTCGATTTATTGGGTGATTTTAATGTCTGAATGGATGATGATGCGAGGATTTTGGTGGGTGTGAAAAAAAAAGTATGGGCCAGTTATTCACAATACTGTTGAAACAGTAACTGGGCTGTGGTGGCTATGCGCATGGTTTGTGATCAAGCACTGTGGAGGTTGTATTAACTCCCCTTCGGCGAGTTTGCCAGGAGAATTCGATACAGCAAAGTGCAGGCTAACAATACCTGTCCTGTCTGCATGGGATAGAGTGTTACTCCTTGCGCGTGTGTTTTCTCTGGGTGGTCGTGTTTCATTTCACATGTGTAAATGCTCATTAATTGTCTAAAACATCTTAACATAGATGCAACTCCTCGTTATTTATACAAACACTAGGGGGATAAGCTTTCCGTTCATCATACGGTCACATGATAGTCAAGCCAATGCTCTCTTTTTTAAATTAGCCAGATCAAGTGACAAATCAAATGTAATGAATTTTTGTGCGTGTATTTATTGGTGAATGGGATGAAAGCATCAATGTTCTACCCTTGAGAACCTGGTTGAACATGGGTAGCTAAAGCCCAAATTCGACATTAATCTACCTTGCGTCTGTGGACAAGCTGATTCCATTGCTTCTTCTCTCCTTGACTGTTAATCCTTCATTATTCTTGACCATCAGCCATCATCATCCCTTCTATCTCCCGACAATGCGTTGACCAATCCCACTTTTTCTGAATACGGGTTGAATTATGCCATGAACCCGCGGTGGCTGCGGCGGTGGCGAGATGTTGTCTCCCTCGCCTGGTGTGCATGGGGGAAGTTGGCTCGATACTGACCCTGACGATGCCTGGATATTTGGAAAAGCATGTTCTCCCTCGGTCGCGTGGTCGCAAGGATATTTCTGCGGGTCCTCCAGTTTTGCCCTCCACATTTAGAAACACGCGTTTAGATTATTTGACCGATGTAAATGTCCACATATGATAAGAGCCACACGTGTGGCCAGGTCGCCTCTGAAAAAGAGTCAATAGCTCAGTGGGGTTTTACTCGGTCAATATAACGAATAAGTTATACGTAATTAATTCCTCTGTTCTCTAAATCCACGCGACTTCTTTGTTGTTGGCATTCTAAGAACGCGTCTCCCCCCCCGCCACGCTCTTTCCATCAACACGGGCGCGCTCTTCCAGCCCCTGTTGCGCGCAGAGGTCCCGCCCACCGATCCAACACGCGCGTCTTCACGCGGTTTCACAGACCTCGTGCGCGCACTTCGCTGCCCATATAAACCCGGGACGGCGAGAAGACGAAGAAGGCCAGGGGAGAGGAGGGGAGTAGCCCATCGCCGAGTTAAGTCTCGCGAAACGGCATTTGCGCGACCCAAAACTTGCGAGCGAGGCGGCGAGCAGCAGGAAGGGCAGAGCGAGTGAGGGGAGCGACCCGCGCAAGTCACACGCCAGTAAGTGCGCCATCAAAAATATAACCTAACGCTCTCATAACACGTGCGCACACGCATACGTACGCACTCTCACGTGCGTGACGTATACGTACAACCGCACATACGCGCACACTCTTGAAAATGTTGCAAATATCAGAAAGCCGGCAATTTTTTGGTAATCTCCTCGGTAGGAGACGCATTTTTTGGCTGGCTTAATGTTTTCCTCCGACGTACAGTTTTGTAGATACAGAGCGCAACGGACTCTTGCATTTTCATAGATATAGATGAAGCAATCGCGTAACTGTGGGTGGTGTTGCTGTATGAGCCCTGGTGGCCGCCCGAATTCGATTCCTGGACATGGCAAACAAGAGAGGCACGAATAATGTTTTTAGAAGAATGTTTTTGGTTTATTTGGACAGCGTGATGATACCGTTTCAAAAAAAAAATCTCGAGGAAGCGACGTCAACAAAGAGCGAATTATTTGGTGTTGCTGCTGCTTCATTGACGGTGCTGCACAAGCACAACGAACAGCAATAACAACCTAAGCGAAAGGTTTGTGTAATATGTACGTGCAAATATATAAACGGTCAATAACACTGCCTTAAAGTAAAAAAAAACTTAATAAAGGCATTCGGGGAACGGCTGTCCATATCACATTCCAGAGGCAGGAGCAAATTCCATACAACATATTTGTACACCGCAAGTAACAAGCTTCAGAATTGTTAGTGCATGTACCCACGTCTCCTTTTGTTCTGGTTTACAGTGACCAACCGGTTCATTTCGAATTTGCCGGTTTGAGAGGTTTTACAGCAGTTGTGAGTGTGGAGTAGTGTTCAATTGTACTCGTGGTGTCATTTCTTGTTCTTGCACTTGGCCGATGTTTGGCTTCAGCTCTCCGAGTCGCCGCTCAATCTCCAGTGCCACCGCCCCACATCCTGGGCTCATGGAGGGGCCCACAGCGCCCACGGACCAGGGCCCCCTGCAAGGGGACTCGTCGGGCCCCGTGCCGCCCCCGCACGTGTACGTGGTGACGGGCGGTGCGGGCTTCCTGGGCGGCTTCTTGACCCCTCAGCTGCTGGAGCTCGGGGAGGAGGTCGCCGAAGTTCGACTCGTAGACTGCGCCTTCAAGGGCGATGAGATTTTGTCCTATCCAGGTACTGCGATTTCCTGTGCAATGGGCACGGTGTGTGTGCGTGTGTGTGTGCAAAAATTGGTGTGTTGTGTGCACGCACGGTGTTTTGGCGAAGGTCTCATAATTTTTTGCTAACAATGGTGCGTGACAAATCGTGGATTGATTTGTCTCAAGCTCAACGATGAGCCGTTGTTTTCATCTCTTCGCAGAGCGTACTGTTTGGGAGTACATCATGTGTAATCATTTTTTTTCAGATCTCCCCCTCTGATTTCTTTCTGAGTCTATGGCAGCTGTTTGTTGTCAACCGAGACTACGACTTCTTTTTTTTCCTGAAAACATGTTAGATCGACTGTCGAGATGACAATTCCTTCTTTGCTTGATGAATCTCTCCCGCATGAACGCAATGTTTTTTTTCCTGTCCATGTTCCAAAGCATTCAGAAGCCGAGTCGTGTTTTCTCAGTTGCATGCTTTTTGGTAACAAAGTTGCGAAGCTTCACATGTGTGATAACGCTGTACAGATATCCCTGCTGCCCAACAAATACTAGGAGATGTCGTTGAATATTTCACAATTTTCCCGACAAGTTCATGGTTTGCTGCTGCCTCGTGATTGTTCATGCTTTTTGAGGTTGTCAGATCACAGCGCAATTTGCAGATTGCCAGCACCTCAAGGTACACAAGCGACAACTGACCTACATACTTGTCTGTGTTTGACGAACAATTCCCTTCAACGTTTTTTGAGAGCACTTCATATTTTTTCTCCAAAAATTAATGTCATTGAACTTTCCTGTTTTGTTTTCTTCACCACAAAATGGCCTTGGATAAAATGTCTGTACAGAGTTGGATGCTTCACTTGAAGCGTTTTCACTTTTCCCAGATGCCAAGCGGCGCAATAGTCCAATTCCTGAAAAACCTCGATCAGAGATTCTACTGTTTCCACATGCAGAGCCCATTTTCCGTTGCAATCAGCAGTAATCATGTTTTTCAAATATTGACGAGCTTGAAACAAATGCGCTGGTACCGACACAGTTCTGATCACTCCGAACACACTTTCAAAGAATATTCAAAACCTTTCATGAAATTGTAAAATGTTGCTTTGACCACCTGGATTAAGTCGTGATCATGTTTGATGTTGCTTCAGAAGTGAGCTAAAACAATCATAACTGGTGTGTTAAACTCTTATACACTTAACAATAAAAATGTGTATGACTGTCAGATGGTGGAGTGCCTTATTGCCACAAATTTGATCACATTATGCGGTCAAACCCAAAACAAATCTATCATCACTCGTAATAATACCTCTGAAAACCAAAGTATTAAGTGTGTGGAAGCTGTTTGGCCTGTCAATGCATACGGACCCCCGAGTTTTCTTGGCAACAGTTATGCCCTCTCCTATCTATGCTTGCATGCGTGCAGAGGCCGTGCGAGGCAAGATCCGCGTGATCCAGGCCGACATCCGCGATGAGCGTGCGATGCGGGCGGCGTGCCGAGGCGCCCATGTCCTCCTGCACACGGCCTCGCTCATCGACGTGTGGGACCGCAACAGCGAGGCAGAGATCTTTTCCGTGAACCAGCACGGTGAGATCGGGGGTTACGCTTCTAGAGCTGGGATCTGTATTCGATTAAGTCGATTGTCAAACTAAATCGTTACAATGTACTATTTTCTTTCGTGGTCAATTAATCAGGGACAATTTAAGCATGGTGCCAGCACTCACATCTTGCTTCCTGAAGGTGGTAAACTCCCTACAAGCCACATCCAGCATGACGTGGTTAATTATTTCTATGAGATCGCCAAGCCTCGCACATCACTTCACAGCCAGTGGCGCACTTGGAAACAGAGGTTACACTTAAATATATGTTATCTGATAAAATGAGTAATCGAACCAACAAACGTACAAGTAATCCATAACGTATATCATCGGACAGTCCTGCTCTACGCTAGTCTTAACACGGCGCTATGGGGAGACCTTCCATCTCAATGCATGAATCTACAAGTGATTTCTGCGCAAGCCTTCGCTTCAAGTGACCAGGAAAATATTTCCGCATCTGGCACACCACATCCAGTTTATCTATCGCAATGACTGTGGTCATTAGTCACACACATACTCTAGGCTACCAGTGACCCAGAACATATAAGGTTCTAATATTAAGCATTGCTTAACCTTGCCCTGCAAGAAGAGATCTTAGTATCGAGTTGTAGTGGGTAACTGCCCCAAAAACCTAGTAACTTTCCACACTACATGCCACATTTGAACTCACACTAGTTTTGTCATCTATTGGCTGTGAATGTTTTTGTCTGTGTTTTAAGATATCCGACTGTATGATATCTGGAACTGTTGTTTGTGAAACGTTTATGGAGCTAAATTTGAAGACATCATCCCTTTAAAGCATGTTTTCCTTCCAGTTATATTTAAATCGAGATGATGACATTTCTACTCGATGCTTTATATAATCGTACATTATAATTAGGCATTATGTCGCATCTAGAGGGGACCACATCTCAAATGCTGTTTCGAAAACTGGAAATGTACTCATTTCAATCATAGGCAGATAAAAAGTGATTGGGCTTGAACAGGAGCGGAGTCGAAAGCACAGATGGCTGGAGTAAGGGAGTTTCAGACTATCGGAGCAGCAGAGGAGATTGAGCAAGTTTGAATGACTTACCACTGAGCAAAGGTTGATTGGAGGCTTGGTACAGAAAACATTGGTTGCTGGTGTAAAAAAAATACTATAGTTCATATATGGGAGGAGAGTGAGAGAATAAATAGGCAGGGGCGAATCTATGGCATATCCTGAGGACGATGAGTGCAATATTAAAATTGATTGACTTTAGAGCGATTGGAGTACAAGAGTGATGGATTTTATGTAAGACTGGCAGTGGCAATTAGTGCTATCTAGAGTTTGTAGGTGAGGGAGTTGGGGAGGCTGGAGAGGAGAGATTTGCAATAGTCAAGTTGGGATGTAATGAAGGCATGGATAAGGGCAATGGCGGAGCCAGGATTTTCAGGTAGAGGGTGCAACCACTCCAGCAATGAAAAATGATCGGAGTTATTAGTAAGTAAGGACTTGTCCCTTGTTTTTAATTCGACACGTGTGTGGCGATGGCGCAGCCATCGATCGAGGGACGAATTTAAACCGCGTTGTGTGACCGGCATCGCGCTCACTGAAGGTGAACGCCTTCAGGGAAGTCGTGGACTCTGTAGACGCAACTGCGCACAATTCGGTGAGTCACTTATAACTGCTTTGCTGTTACTTATTGCCAATTATGGACTCAGACTCTTGTCCTATTCATCTCATAGAGTCCCTGGCACGTAGTAATATGCTGCACAGTGGGGTCGCAAAATGCCGATTTATTACTAATAAACCCCAACGATCCAATCGAAATGAGGGATTTTGATCGGATCATTGGGGGGCACATGCCCCCCCCCCCCCCCCCCCCCCCCCCACTGGCTCCGCCAGTGGATAAGGGGCTTAGTGGCAGGTACTGTATAAGAATGTGGGAGATATGCAGATGGGATTATGAGGTCCTGCAGAGTTGAGGCATATCGGAAGAGAACGAGAGCTCAGGGTCAATGACAACTCCAAGGTTTTGCACATTTTGTTTTTATCAGTGTTTAGGAGGTGCACGTTCCATGTGAAAACATACCTTTAATGCATCATATTTTTCCGTCGTCAATCGTGACTGCTCTGAGACCAGGATTTTAACTTAGGATCTCAGTGGTGCCAGTTTGGTGTCTCTCTAACCTCTGAGCTACCGAGCCACGTGTTAAGAATCCATGAAGGACTACATTCCATGAGACTGAACTTTGATATCTCTCTCTCTCTGCCCCTCCTGTCCGATGCCCTGACTGCAGGCACGCATGTGCTATTGGAGGCCTGCGTGCACGAGGGTGTGAGCGTCGCCATCTACACCAGCTCCGTGGAGGTGGCCGGGCCCAACGGGCAGGGTGACCCCATTGTCAATGGCGACGAGGAGACCCCGTACAAGCACAACCTCTGTTTCACCTACAGCCGCAGCAAGGCAGAGGCCGAACGTCTCACGCTGTCCTACGACGGCGCGGCTCTACCGGGCGGCGGCACCCTGACGACGTGCGCTCTGCGGCCCATGTACATCTACGGCGAGCGCTGCCGCTTCTTGCGATTCCACATAACCAATGGCCTCGCCAACGGGCGCGTGCTGCTGCGCGGGTCGCGCCCCAGCGCCCTCGTGAATCCCGTCTACGTCGGCAACGTGGCGCACGCGCACGTGCTGGCAGCACGCCTGGCACTGACGGGCGGCACCGAGGCGGAGCGACGTCGCCCCGGCGGGCGCGTCTACTACGTGTCGGATGACACGCCGCCCATCAGCTACTCAGATTTCAACTACATGGTGGCGCGCGACCTTGGCTTCGGCATTCAGAAGCGGCTGCCGATGCCGTTCGTCGTCCTATACGCCGTGGCGGCCCTGCTCGAGCTGCTCCGCTTCTTGATGCGGCCGTTCTACAAGTTCGTCCCACCCATCAACCGTCAGCTCGTGGTCATGGTCAACACGCACTTCACGTTCAAGCACGAGCGCGCGCGGCGCGAGCTGGGCTACAAACCCCGCTTCTCGTGGGAGGAGGCGCACGCCCGCACCACCGAGTGGCTCGCCAAGGAGGTGCCCTTGATAGAGGCTGAGCTGAAACAAAACAAGAAATAACGTGCCGTCGACGCTTTGCGAGCTGAAAGAAGATGCAACCCGAGGAGCAGATATCTATTGTGGCTAGTTACCTAGGCCAGTAGAGTGTAGGCTGGTTGCCATGGGCCCGAGTGCAAGGGATCAAATGGAGCTGTCCAATTTCGCCCCCATCTCTGTAGCCCTACCTGCACACTTGATAATTACGCTAGTTATATCGGCTGTGTCGCTAGGTAGTGTGGAATGCTTTGTTATTAGGGGTGGAAGAATGTATCGATTCATAAGTTCATTTTAATTCTTAAGCTTAATAAATGCATTGAATCGGCTGAGTATGAATTCATATATATTTTTAAAATGTTTTTTTGGTTTATGTCACCTCTGTTTTCACCACGAGGGGCGCTACCATTCATAACAATGTAAACATGTTTTATTCTTTTCAGGAGGCATGACCCTGAATCACATGAATTTGTGGAAACACCCAGGCGATTACAGGTGTGTCTCGCTTAACGAGCGAGATATGTTCCATGAAATTAGCTCGGGAAGCGAAAATCGTGAAACCATCATCGTTTTCCCATTGACTCACTCCCATCTAACGTGAGAAATACAAATTATAATGTGATAATAAAGTAATGAAACAACAAATGTAACACCGCACATGAAAAGAAACAGTACAAGATCCACCGTATAGCCTTTACAGACTTTTGGGCCAAGTGCTGTTAGCGAGCAGCACCTATGAAGACCGGTATGGCACATGAGGGGTGGGTGGGCAGCACGACGCCCGATCACCTTTATCTCCCCAGTGGCGATGTTTACATACCGCACCAGGTACTCATTTGAGGCTGAGTCGACCTAGGGGAGGCCCAGGACCGGTTCAGATAATCGTCACTGGTTTTGGCTATGAGCGAGAATCGAACTCGAGTCGCCGGGTTCGTTACACCGCTTGCTCACTCAATCGCTCTCCTCCCGCCACCCACCGATTACAGTGCCACCACGAGGCCCCATTCCCCCACATGGAGGCACGGCACGTGACAGCTGATAAACAAACAGCTGCAGGCCACCTTGGGCCCCCTGCCTCCACAGGACGCATATTTATCGATCGGTCTCCGCTCGATAAGCAAAGATTTTGCTCTTTTTGCAAACAATTGGGTCAAAATTCAAATGGTTCTTTCCAGTGAATTCACGTGGAAAGAACGCTCATTAGCGAGACACGCCGGCAATTGTTCCACTCTTCTCTGTTATTGAGAAAAAAAAAAACACATCCAAGTGATTCTCTGGTGCTCTTGTTTTGTCACTGGTGTGTGACTGTATTGATGTCACCACAGTGTCATCACGGAAACGGGCCTGAGTCACTTTGAATCTTGTGTTACATAAATAAAGCGCCATACTCACGTTTGACATCCCTAACCCACACCCGTCTACAGGATAACAGCTTCTGTAACTCTCTTCAGCAACACTTTGTTGAACATCACAGGTGCAAGTAATAAAGTATTTGTGTAAGTGTTGGAAGAATTAACATTATCAAACCCTGGTCTCTATACATTCACAGAATAAATCCTTGAACTGAATCATACTCTTTGGGTCTTTCGGTAAAGTCACGTAGATAGAAAAATAATTTAATAATTACGACGTTTCCATCGCAGCACAAGCAATCGTCTTCAGGTGATTTACAAAATTCATCTCAGAAGTGGATACTTTTACATCATTACCCATGCTGCAGTGCTGCATGAATTCTCATTATTGTCAAGCCCCAAATGCTTTTACTCCTGTGCCTCGTACCCTTCATCTCCCTCTTGCCCCTTCCTCTTGATCTTCCCCAAATACACAACAGGGTATTCCCCTAAATGAGTAGTTAATCAAGAGTATACCGCGAATACTGTTCTAAAATAACTAAAGAAATGGAAAAGGTCAAGCACGTTGTGGTTAGAGCAGATGACTCGTACAATATAGTTTGTAAGTTTAAAACATGTCAGAGAATGGACTGAACCCATCAGTGGTTTCCTTGTAAAACAGTGGTTTCCTTGTAAAAAGATATTGTCCTCTGTCATAGAAATGTGGAATTTTCACCACTAACTCTGGAATGCCCAGCAAGCAACTGAGCAATGCAAAGCTGCCACGTACCATTTTTAAAGTGGGACCTACGTGCGGCCCGTGGGAATATATAAATAAGGTGTGACCACGGTGACTATGCAGAGGACATGTTTAACATGTTATGCTTCCAGATAAAGTTACCGAAGAGAAACCTTTCAGATTCGGCATAAACCAATAATTATAACAATAATTCCCGGCATAAACCAATAATTATAACAAGAATTCCCAGCATAAACCAATAATTATAACAACAATTTCCGTTCTTGAACTAGGAAAGCCTCAATAAGTCTCGAGACCTATTTTTCAGCATGGCCGTGCATCGGGATGTTTGGCCAATTCGATGAATTATTGTTTAGCTTTACGTGGGAGTAACACTCAAAGCTGCGCACCCATACATGAAAGTGTCCATTTCCGTGTTTCCATCTCGTGGCTAGCTCACCGAATTAGGCTGCACGTGCAGAGCTGCAACTAACAGTCAACAGTAAATCAGCATATTCTTGGTTCTTTCGGTAAAGTCACGTAAAAGGGAAATAATAAAGTAATAAAATTAAACCATAATAAAATTCTCAGGACGTTTGGGCCACAACGCAAGCAGCCGTCCTCTGGTGAAGAACAGAGCTGTCGGAAAGACACCGTCTTCATGAACACTGCTAAGCTTGGCAGCGTATTTTAAGCTGGGTGGGAGGAGGAGAGCGCCTTGACAAAGGAGTTTACATATCAACAAAGGAATTTAACATGTTGATGACAAATGCAGATATGGGGTTAGTCACTCTTTGTGGAATGTGTAGGCAGTGGGCGGGGGGGTCTCAAAGTCATATTATGCTAGTGTATTATGTAGGATTAGCATTAATAAAGGGAGGGAAATTTTTATAATAAAGAACTGCAGCAGCCAAACCACCGCGTATCAAGCTAGTGCATTAAGTGGAAAACAAAAAAGGAGTTTCTAAAGAACTACAAATACCCTACTACTATACAATAAATCGATGTGAAAATAAATAGATATAAACTACATCAATGTACTCAATATACTCTACAATAAGCTGAGCTATTAACATTAAGTAACTGGGTATACACTACACTATATAATGACTACCATATAGTAAACCGATATACAATTACGATACTGACCGTTTGTGTTATGGTCGAAACGTCGTGAGAATATTTATTTTTTATATATTTTATTATTTTATTGTTTCCCTTCAACGTGACTTTACCGAAAGAGCTAAGAATAAAAGCTATATAGTCAACTTTCGTGACTACAGGAATTAATATTCTTGGTTCTTTCGGTAAAGTCACGTCGATAGAATAGAAAAAAATCTAAAATTATGAAATAAATTTTTAATAAAATAAAAAATAATAAAAGCAAAAAAACACAATAAAAATAATTAAAAAATAAAATGTTTTTTTTGCTTTTATTTTCATTTTTTTCTTTTTTCTTTGACTATTTTTATCGTGTTTTTTTTGCTTTTATTACTTTAAATTTTATTATTTTTATTGCTTATTTATTTTAGTATTTTATTATTTTTATTATTTTCTATCTACGTGACTTTACCGAAAGAACCAAGAATATGACTGAAAATGGCCAATACCAATACCCGCTATTCGCCACGAAGTGACGGTGACGTCACCACAACGCCCGTGCCACGCTCGGTGTACCCCGAGGCTACGTGAAGTGTCGAAGGTTCGCTGACAGGAGGTCACGGGACAGACCCAGCTGACATGGGTTGGCTGACTGAGATGACCCGCAGATGCACCGTCTGTACCCCCCACCGTGCTAACTTGCTCTGTTTTATCAGCCCGGCGTTCCGCTCGTTGTTGTGAGCGTCGCTCTTCTGCCATCAGTTGTTGTTGGAGGGCGACTGCCTCCAACTGCCCAGCAGCGTCCTTTACGAGCCTCCTCCACAGAAGCCGATCCCGACACCGGTGGTACCAGTCATCGGCAAGTCCACTCAGCTCCACATCCTCCCGTACCGTATCAGCCCATCTCTTCTCCAGCCCATGTCGTGCCCGTTTAGGCCCCTCTATGCGGCCAAACAGAAGCTGCTTGGGCATGTGGTGGCTGGGCATGCGGGCTACATGACCCAGCTAATGCAGCCTTGCCTGCCGGAGGAGCTCACTGATGGGAATTAGTCCAGTTCTTTCAAGGATTTGTGAGCTCATACAATCCAGCCTGGTTAAACCCAGGATGGATCGTAGGCAGGCTAGCCTGAATGTTTCTAACTGGCACAGATGTTCCACCAGAGGGTTCAGCGTTTCACAAGCATAGAGAAGGGAGGGCATGAGTGTGGCCGAGAAGACCCCAAGCTTCGTGCGCAACGAAAGACCAGGTAGCTTCCACACAGCATTATGCAGCCGATGAAAATATAATGCTGCCCGACTGATTCGGAGTGAGACCTCTGCTGTTAAACTAGAGCTTGTCATAATTACACTGCCCATGTATGGGGAACTATTCAATATAGGCACAAACATTGAACATTGTATATTATTTTATTGGATGTTATGGAATAAGGATTCTATGCTGGATGAGGTGGAACAAGTGTTCTTCAACACATCTTGTACTATGAAGAAGGGTCATTGCTCTAAACGTTATGTATAATGTGTTGAGTTGTTTTTGTTATCGTGCCTTTTCACCACTGCCAACGCAGCATCACCAAATTATTTGCTTAATTATGTAATAAATGGGTCAGAAATGTTTCAGTGATGGCTCAAGCTGGAATTGAACTAATGGCCAAGTGGTAACTGGGCCATTAGGCCTCGTTTAAAGCCATAATCAAGTTCACTGCTGCACACCGCAATGCCTTTCTGCTCGTATAGCCAGTGGCGCAACGTGGCTGACAATGGCACTGGTGCCCCACTCCAACAAATGTCCTCTCATTCGCAGCCCGGCGTCTGGGCTCCTCCGCCACGTGGTCCCCGGTACAGTCTCACTGCTTGCACACTCCTTAGCCATGCCGCTTTGTATTACAGCTCATTGCCGTCATTCTGCACCCCATTAACATGTTGAAATAACAACACTTCCATTCAAGAAAAAAAACGACTTGTGGTGACGGGTCTTATGTGTATCGGCTTCTGTATCTCTCCCTTCGTCATTGTATATCTCTCCGTTGTTGCCTCCATGTGCCTTTTTATTTGGATCTGTGTGTCTGTATCTCTGTACCTGTCTGTCTCTATGCGCCTGTGTCTATCTCTGTATCTGTCTGTCTCTATGCGCCTGTGTGTCTATCTCTGTATCTGTCTGTCTCTATGCGCCTGTGTGTCTATCTCTGTATCTGTCTGTCTCTATGCGCCTGTGTGTCTATCTCTGTATCTGTCTGTCTCTATGCGCCTGTGTGTCTATCTCTGTATCTGTCTGTCTCTATGCGCCTGTGTGTCTATCTCTGTATCTGTCTGTCTCTATGCGCCTGTGTGTCTATCTCTGTATCTGTCTGTCTCTATGCGCCTGTGTGTCTATCTCTGTATCTGTCTGTCTCTATGCGCCTGTGTGTCTATCTCGGTATCTGTCTGTCTCTATGCGCCTGTGTGTCTATCTCTGTATCTGTCTGTCTCTATGCGCTCGTGTGAGTCTCTGTCTCTCTGGAGACTCATGCTGCCTGAATGTGCGTACCCGCAACAAATACAGGTCTCTCGTCCAGGTATTAAGACACCTGGGGCAAGTAATGTTAGCGAACACATATTAAGGCCAGCATGGGTGTGAGGTGATATCAAGCGGAGCGCCAGGTGGCTAAAACGTAGCGAGGTGGTAGTGTCGAGCCGGTCATCTCTGTCAACCCATGGCACCTCGATCTGTTCCGTGATTCTCTTTGCCAGCGATTCTTCGGCATTTCAAGTGGCTTCAAGGTGCACCCAGCTTGGCACATGGGCCGTGGTGCCGTCACCGCCACTGAATGTCGAACGGCGATTGCATGTTGGTGCGTGAGCGCAAGTGCTGGACACCCACCCACCCATCCCCTCGTGTTGTGTTGTCGGCCTTCATAGGTGCTCGCTGACAGTACTGCACTGGCCCAAGCAGTCTGTTTCGACGACAAGGGAGAATAGGAGATCTTTGTCTCGTGTCGGGCGCAGTGGCGCAATGGGTTGCGCAACATTCGACGAACCTCGCGGGTTAACCAACCGCTCAATGTTGTTTTAGAACCGGGTTAGGGCCTCCCTTAGGTCTACTCGGCCCTAAATAAGTAGCTGGAGCGGGCTGTAAACATCAGCACTGGGGAGACAAAAGGGGCTGAGCCACGCCATCCCCTCGTGTCACGCTGACATCGATAGGTTCCACATCGCCGCCTGCTGTTTGGGGATGGAGTGACACGTGTCGGAACTGATTTCACCAAGAGGCAAGCAAGCACTGCACTGAGATAGAGGACATTTATCATCTGGATCATTTACTGCAATTGTATCTAGGTTTGCTTCAAGAATAATGAAACCCGGATTCTGCACATCACTATGGCCATGCAAAATGTGATGATGGTAACAACTCATTACGCTCTACTATGAGTTAAACAATCTTGGATGAAAGACTACAGATATAATCTTAAAAGCAAACATATTGCCACATTCCTATGTTAGTGAATCTTAATTTTCATCTGATTTTTTTTTAACTTGGCAGACGACGTATCCATCACCACCACTGGACAAAATCACAGCAGTGATGAGTTTCCCTTTGGTGGCATCTAGCACGGGTTTAATTTCATTCACCTCTACACAGACGTTTTAAAAAATAAAATCCTGGAACGACTCTGCCCCCACACCTCTTTACTCGTCACAAGTCAGGTTATGATTCGATTTAACAAAGGTCGAAAGCATGAATGCATTCGCTCTGTTCATCTGTCCGTAGCTCAGGATCACGATAAAGAACACAATTATGCGATACGAACCAATTTGTGGTATGGAGTTGTGTCGCTATTAGGGATTTAACACTGAGAAAACGAGTTAAATTGTTCAATTGTTTTGTCACATTACCATGCGATGTCATCTCATTGCGTGGCTTGAAATGTGGTGCAGCACGCGAAACATCACAACACGGGTCCAGACTCGCACACAACACAAACACACATGCACAAAATGATGTTTTTTGTTGAGATTAAATGTGATAAAGAAAAAGAAATGATACACACAAGTAAACATTTACTATGTAGTTGCCAAAGCCTTTATATTTTGAAATGTTAACTTTAAATGTTATGCTTGAAAAGTGAAAAGCTATGAGAGCCCAATGAAAATAGGGAGGGCTTATTTGCAGAGCGGACCTGAGCTAAGATAATAAATGGGACGATGTACACCGAGGTCAAATTTAAGGTTATATTTGCAGTATTTTTAATGGAAACAGCTGATATTTATGTTTCTTGATTGCACGTAAGCATAAAATATGTCTGAAACAATTACCAATGAGGGATTTTTTTAAATCAAATATTGTGATTTTATAAGTTGACTTGGGCCGACCCTATCCTTACCACTAACATTAACATTGGCCGTATTAGTCTTTTGAGAATTTGCTCTACAATAACTCAAACTTTAATTCTAACTCCAACACAAACCCTATCCTAAACCATAACTTTCCCTATCCTGAATGTTGACACGAATACTCATCGTTTCCCTGGCACTAACACTAGCTCTAACTCTAACACTAATCATTTCACGATAAGACTACTCCAATCACGAACACTGCTTAGAGTCACTGATTCCACCACTGTATCATGATATTCATATTCCTTCCACAATCCATAACTCTAACACTTTGTCTAACAATAATCTTATCCCTATCTGTACCACACACCCTGTCTCTAGCATTAACCCTCCCACTATCTCTAACACTAATCATATCTTCATTTAAAGCTTTCGTGACTGCAGGGATTCATATTCTTGGTTCTTTCGGTAAAGTCACGTGACTTTACCGAAAGAACCAAGAATATGAATCATATCTCTAACCCCAGCACAAATATTGTCACTAACATGAACCCCATAGAATTAAATGAATCTCTCACTCTCTCCCTAGAATGAACTATCTCTTTAACCTTAGCCCAATTGTTATCACTAACAAGAACCCTATTCCAAACATGAATACCTGACCCGAAACAGTAACCATATCCCTAACCGTAACACCAACACTACCTCCATCACTACAGTCATGCTAACCATAGAATAATCACTAACCACAGCACTACCTTCACTAGTGTCCAAATCACACCCTAAGGATGCACTGGTTCATTTATTAAGATACATTTTTTTCACTCGCAGCACATGCATCAAATTGTGCATGTGGGAATCAATTAAATGGATTCGTATGACCCCTGTAGCTACTGGAGGGTGCCACATTTGCACAATGTGTTAAAAAGATAATGAATCGTGACAATTCTTTGACTCGAGAGGCCACGTTGTCCATTGTCACATGCCCACAAACGAGTCGTGGCCGTGTGTTTCCACTTTGCCAGCTTGTTTCCGAAGTGAGGACTTTGCCACCAAGCCACGCAATCTCTTCCTGGACACAGCGTGCCCTGGGCGTTTCTGTGGGTAGGAACAAGGGTTAGGATGGGGTTAGGGGCAGAGAGAATGTTAGTGAACGTGAACGTCAAACCAGAGCACAGTTGTAACATAAACTCCACATAAATCGGAAAAGGCCTAGACATTGGTGATTGAGGCGAATGTTAATGTGTTGCTGTCTGCCGAAGGGATCTGAAAGTCCTATTGGGCCCTCAGAAGGAAGAGAATCCCCAACCCTGGAAGTGACGACGGCACTCACCCAGTGCAGGGGCTTGTGGGTAAGGCGACGGTAGAGCTCGAGGCCCGAGGGGGCACCGGGGCCGAAGTTCACGAGGGCATGGCGCCGGCGCGACGGTCTCTGGCCTGGGGAAAGAGGATCGACAATATCAGCCCTCTGCCACTCACCTTAACACAAAGGGCGTGGGTCATGGTTCCCAGCCCTGATCATGAGGGGCTGTTGGCTTGCGAGGTGGTCAGGAGATTACAGCAATTCATTTTTCTTTGTTTGTCTGTGCATTGAATCTCTGTGTGCCTCACCCAGCACTCCGTCAATAACGTGTATGACACCGTTTGTGGCCATAATGTCGGCCTCGATCACCGTCTGCTTTTCGTTAATGGACATCACTCCACCTTTCTGCAAAAAGGGGGTATAACGTGGGGAAGACGGTCGCGTTAGTGGGGCCATCAATGACATATAGCCTGCCCTCTCAACATATCAGTATCATCACAACCACCACCATTACCACCAGCTGCATCAGTATATATTGCATGTCCCATCATCAGCATGGTTTTAATCACCATCACCACTACCGTCAACGTGGTCGCTGTCATTACCACTATTGCTAATATCATCACAATCACCACATCATCATTGTGGCAATTTAACAAAATGGATTAGGAAGGAAAATGTCACACAAAAGAACAAAAAACTCAACACACCCATTAATAACACTGGCCTCATAAGAAATATATAGATAATTAGCATTCATAAGAGTTGGAGCTCGTAATTGACACCATGGGGCTTTATGAGAATTACATAAAACAAATTATGATGACCAGTTTTTAAATCGGCAAATTAATAGTTACCTAATAGTAGCTATTTATTTGGCACAAAGGAACAGCAGTACGCCCCTCCCCCCGTTTGCCCCCCATTCAGATGCAGCTGAGGGACACTCAATTTGAGGTGAAGTGATCACGTGCCAATACCAATGATGCTACAAACATTGCCATTACTTCCTACCTTCTGCCAGATCTTGAACAGTCCACACCGACCCTCCAACATCTGCTCTGACAGTCCTATTCCCCGAATGGATTTTTTTTGCGTTATATAACGCAAAAAAAATTCATATATAACGCAAAAAAAATTCATTGGTGACAAGGCTGAGGATCATCAACTCACTATACTTGAGAACCCGGTTTAATCAGAGGCGGCTTGACTTGAACTCATGATCTCAGTGGTAATGGCTCAACCCTCACCGTAATATCTTTAGAGATGTGAATCTCAGTGCTCAGTGAGATTTCCTGAGAGATGTGAATCTCTTAGAGATATAAATCTCAGCGATTAGTGAGGTTTCCTGAGAGATGTGAATCTCAGCGATTAGTGATATTCATTGCGATGTGAATCTCTGAGAGATGTGAATTGAGCCACGTAACCCCAGCAATAGAGGTACGTGCACGGGGGTGGGTGGCGGAACCTGCGTGACGTCGATGTTCACGCCGCTGAGCGCCATCACCAGGTTGGTCCCGATGGGGATGAGGCCCCCTCTCACGAGGATCCCCGAGCTGACGTGGCTCAAGAGCAACTCCTGTAGCTCCTTCGAGTTCCCTACGCCGCACACATACTCACACAGTTAGACTCCCGCTGAAGCTTTGTCACTGTTATTGTTTCAAATGGGCCCTTAGTGCAGATTAAATGTACATCCTTTACGTCCATGCACTGGTGGACCATAGCCCTCCATGCTGTGTAGGTCGTCGGGGTTATTTTACTTAACTTCACAAAGCTGGTCAGTGCAGATTGGTGGAGGGAAGCATATACATGCAAGCATAGACGTACAGTAGCACAATGTATTTTTCTGTGCTGCCCACAACGTAGCCCTGCGGTAGCCTACAGCACCTGTTTATTGACTGTGGTCACCAATCCAAGCACTATCCAGGTTCAAACCCGCTTAGCTTCTGATATCTGGGAGATTTGATCATAGGCGAAAAATCTAAACTAATTAAATAAACCATAACATTCTATTGAAAGTAATTATTAATAGTTTTTTTTTATATAATAATTACCTGTATTTGTCTTTAATTGTATTTAATTGGTGATCATTAGGCCTGTAACAATTCACAGATTCATCGATTAAAATCAATTCTGATGTTCACGATACATGCATGAGATCGTGAGCATTAAAATAAACGATATCCGTAAACGTTGTATGTAAATAATTGTGAATCGCACCCGAGAGGACGATCACTACAGAGATGGAGTGATGATATAAGTTCACGTGCGGGAGCGATATGGACTGTGGAACTAAAGGGCTATGGGGGTGGGGGGTGGAAATAGCGTGGGTGGTCTTCATCCAGGAGTGATTAGATAACGGATAATGATGATGCAATTTTAATTCTAGGCAATTTGCGAACGTTCATTACAAAGTAATTAATCCTCTATAATTAGTGCATGATTATAGATTATTATAATTATGGGCAGGGAATCATTCCAACCCTACGTTCTCTCCATACAGTTTGTCTTAGAAATAGCGTGAGTAAATATACCATATCCTGCATATCATATTTTTGGGGAGGTCCCATAAAACTGTTAAAGACAAAAAGAATGAATATCGCAGTTCTGAAGCTCGAGAACTGAACAGTGTGCGAAGCAGAACTAACTTCGCGTCAGCTGCACCTCTTCAAAGTGTACACCATGCAATAAACATCATGCGCATCTGTACAACATATAAGTGAAAGTTGCTTTATACCTTGAGATGAAACACTATTTGTGTTTTAATCTAATGCAAATTTCTGAGAACTGAAACATGGGCAAAGAAATGCCGTCATGGATATAATGGGGTGTTGTAAATTAAATTGATATACCAGGGCAGCCCAACCCTGAATAAGCACCGCATATCAAAGACATGCTATACATGCTTTTATACTCCACTCATTACCAACACTGAACCAAAAAATCAATTCATGATTGGAGGAATGTGTATTTTGTCAAAGAGAACAGCGCCACGCGGCAGCGCTGGAACATACGGCTGAGGCGAGCAAGCTCGGCGACGGGGAGGGTCCCGAAGGCCTCGTTCGTCGGAGCGAAGATCGTGAGGTCTACTGGCATTGACAGCTTCTCCGCAAACCCCGCCGTACGCAGCAGCGACACCAGCATCCTGCGAGGGATCGGCACGGGTGGCATGCAGGTAAGTGAGCGGATCCGACGTCGGTGGGCTCCTCCACTCGTCTAATCGCGACGTGTGGCTTGCCTAGTTGAGGTATAAATTGCCATTTGATGAGCATTCATGTTAATATTGGGTTGTGTTGCTACTAATTGTTAGGCTTGTAACAAGTCACTAACCCACTGATTAGATAACACCAGCTTTGGGATTACAATTTGATTCAAGAATCAATTATTTGTTTTGTCTCGTATTTACCGCACACGCACACTCACACACCATGCACGCATGCCTATACATGCACACACACTCAAAAACACTCGCTCATGCATATAGAGATCCCCTGCATAGCCTTAATAGACTGTTGGGGCAAATGCTCTTAGCAAGCACCTATGAAGGGCGGCACGGCACATGAGGAGGAGGGTGGCCAGCACCACACCCGACCGCCTTTGTCTCCCCAGTGGTAATGTTTACACATCACGCTAGGTACTCATTTGAGGCTCGGTCGACCTAGGGAAGGCCCAGGACCGTTTTAAATCATTGTCACTGGTGTTGGCAGTCAGCAGGAATTGAACTCCGGCCGCTGGGTTCGTAGCGCAGTGCGCGAACTGCTCCACTACCGCTCCCCACACTCACCCATGCACTCACATGCCAATACACATAAACCTATATAGACTTCCTAGCCCATCTACTCACGTGAATCGAGTGTCTGCTTCCAGCATGTTCATTAAGGTGCTGCGGGGAGGGGGGGGCAGGGGTTTGTCGAGGATGAAGATAGCCCCATTGCGCGCCGTCCTGTCCTTGGTGTCCACACACGAGCTCTCGATGCACAGAGCCTGCGGTGAGACCAACATGGACGGGAGAGTTCTAGTTCAGAAAGGTTGTCCCAGTGTTCCAAATCATTTATAAACATTGGGATTTTGTGCTGGTTAAAAATTTCACGGCCTCATCCTCAACTCATGATATGCGTAATTGGCGGGACACATTCAACAACAAAAATGCCCTTATACCAGAGTTCCTTCCATCATATTTCGTGCTATTTTTGGCCAAAGTAAAATCATTAATCTCCTTCGGGCACACATCTCATAGAACACGTCATGGAATATCTATATTACTAATCTGGCTAATGAGACATTGAAGAAAATTGGGTTTTTATCAACGCCAAAGTCTTCTGAACAATTATCACTACGATGCAAATCAAACATTACACTCCCAAAAATCAATGGAAATGGTGCCGAGCAATGGTCCACGCTGTCCAGAACCCTTCCTCGCTGGGCAGTCCCAGTTCAGTACTCTCCTGTAGTATTGGCTTGTGCATGCATTGTATAATTGGTTCGTGATGTTTTTGTCATTTCAAATATGTTGGGTTTTTTAATATTGCTATTTATGTTTTATATATTAAAAACCAATATGAATAACATTACAAGCTGCACATAATTTTTTCATGGGAAATTATAAAGGCGGTGGGGGGGGAGGGGGTGTTAAGGACACGGATACACTGGGGGAAGTGGTGGGGTGGGGGAACCCAGCCCTAAATGAGCCCGGTGATCCGAGGACACACTGTGCGGCTCTTCGCCGAGTGCGTGGCCAAGTGCGGGAGTCACCCGGTGGTAGATGAACACTCTGAGGGTCCCCCCGGCGAGCGTCTCGAGCCGCTGGCCGTTGAAGAGGCGGTCGGAGAGGTAGCGCCCGCGCACCACATGCGCCAGCATCTTTTGCTTCAGCTTCTCTCCCCTGTCCGCAGTGAAAGACTCTGCGGAGGAGAGGGGTCACAAGAGACATAGGAGAGGACAAGACGATCAGCTCCGGTGGGTTTCTCGCTCTCATCCTCCCCCTGAAGGGGCTCGTCATAATCGTCACATCACAGCACAACGACAAGAGCTCTCGAGTCAGTACGTAATGAGTCACACACCCACCCCATTAGAGATTCGATAGTGTCACGAGTCATGGTCCAATTTGATGCAATAATCAATATTTGCACGGACTTGTTTTATTGTTTCTCGTAGTTTTGTCTCTAATTAACAGTGTTATTTGTTCCATTCGCCTAAATTGAATATAACCATGTAAATATTTACCAATTTATACAAGTCATGTACAGTATAATAATAATAATCATCGCATGCACAATTAATTTAATTTTAGAATACATTTTATTTGTTGAATTAATTTCAGTGTTACTCGCCTCCTGTGAAGGCCTCGGATCAAGCCCTGGGATTGATTTTTTTTTCTCTCAGTGACAGTGAGCTTTCATAATTGAGCTCCTGGGTTCATCAGCCCATCACCACATAGTTCCTCTGGGTGAAAGGTTTTCCATGAAGAGTAAGTATAACACCTCTATGCGGCCACGGTGAGGGTGGTAAAGACTAGGTGATTGTGGTTATGTTTCGGTGAGGATGGTGAAAATTGGGTGAGGAAAGTGAGGACTGGATGAGGATGGTGTTGTACTCTTTGGTTCTAATCGGTAAAGTCACGTAAAAGTATAAAACAACAAAAAATAAAAAAAATAAAAAAAAAATCACGACGTTTCGGCCACAACACAAGTGGCCTTCATCAGGTGAAGGGACCAGACTGTCTCGAGGACAGCGCTGGAGTGAACACAGCCAAGCTCAGACCGCGACCTTTAAGCTTGTGTGAGAGGAATTAAGGTGCCTTGACAAAGGAATTAGCATAAAAATTACCATTTAATTGGCAGACTTAGCATGATGAACGGTGTAGAGGGGGTGAACATGTGCAGACTGGCGAGGGGGAGTTTACATATTGATGGTGTGAAAAGGGAATTTAAGCAGCTGCGAAAGTTTGGGATACCACTACTTGAAAAAATATACTGTACCATTGAAAATTAGTTTAATGTTTGGTTTGATTCAGAACATCTTTCCAATGGTTGCTTAATTTGAAACCATCTTCTCGGTTGAAATTGTGTCTGTGTTTGTAAATCAATCTGAATTGCCTCGTGAACAAATCTCTGATAAAAACCCGTGGGTTTGCAAAGAACCTTGGTATTGGATAAAATTATATCGTGATCACCCACAGCATTGTAACAGTGATCAGCTACGGCAGAAGAATTTGTTCTGCCGTGTTTCAAATCTGATTTGTGCTCGCGAATTCGGTCAGAGACATGTCGTTTCATCTCCCTGATATAGCAGTCACCACAGGTGCAGATCAATCTGTAAACTCCGGGGTACTGTAAGTCAGGAATGACATCCTTCACAGAAGGGATCAGGTCACGGATTTTGTGTACTGTATTGAACAGGACCAGGATCTTGTGTTTGTTTAGAATTTTGGAGATCTTTTTAGTAACGCCTGCAAGCTTGAAGGTCGCGGTCTGAGCTTGGCTGTGTTCACTCCAGCGCTGTCCTCGAGACAGTCTGGTCCCTTCACCTGATGAAGGCCACTTGTGTTGTGGCCGAAACGTCGTGAGTTTTTTGTTGTTGTTTTATACTTTTACGTGACTTTACCGAATAGAACCCAAGAGTATGGATCCTTGCAGTCACGAAAGCTTCAAATCTAGAAAGGATGGTGTTGGTTGGGTGACAGTGGTGAAGGTTTGTTTGAGGGTAGCTAAGGTTGGGTCAGCGTGGTGGGGTCTCGGTGATCGCAGTGAGGGATCAGTGAGCGTGGTAAAGGCTATATGAGTGTGGTTATAGGTCAGACTATTTTAAGGCATGGCGAGGTCTACCAGTGACGGCACTGTCCTTGACTGTGAGCAGGGTGTAGCTCTCCTCGTGCTGGAGTTGGGCCTTTGCCCCAGACTCTTCGAGCAGATCCATGAAGGTATTGACGCCACTGTCTTCCGCCACCTCCAGCACGTCCCTGGCTGATGGGAGATGCAGAGACGACAGAGAGGATGGCAGGGATTTTATATCGCTTTTCAACACTGCAAAACATGCATGGCAATTCACTCCTGGTGGAGGGCCTCCCCACACTGTGCAGGTTTTGGAAGTTACATGACTATGCTTCATCATGCTGGTCAGTGCGGGTTGGTGAAGGTGTGAGTATAGATATAGTATATACAAGTGCAGCACAACATGAGCTTCAGTATACTGTACATCTCTACGGTTGTGGCTACTCATTATACGTTGTGGCTACTACTCACTTGCCTACTCCAATTTTATCGGCAACTCAAAACATACTTTGTGAGAAATGTAGCCTTGAGAACAACAACGACAGTGCAGCTTGCTGCACCGTCCTCTGCTGACCACCCGTAACACAGCCCTGCAGCCACCTATGACAACCTGGTGTGCATGGTAGTTCCCCATCCAAGCACTACCAAAGCTCAAACCTGCTTAGCTTCTGAGATCTGACAAGATCTGGTGCATTCTTACTATGGCAGGTCATCAATTTCACTGAATGGGAGGCAGTGAATCTACTCGTCGAATGATGAATAATAATGATAATAACAATCGTGTTGATAGTGATTAGTCAAACAAAAGGGACTGTACTGCCAGGTGTACACAGGCACAACAGCCTGTGTACATGCATCCGTGCAGTGGCAACTGCTGAATTGGCAGGTGAGGTAGTAAGCCAAGCCGAGTGAGGTTCTGTACTCATGGACCTACGACACATCACAGTTGATGTAGGCTGTTCCTATTAGTGCCTGCTATTGTGAAGGTGCAAGTGTTGCGGAGGAGGTGACCAGTTCGCTGCTAACGCTTGTGTCTCACATTGAGCTCTGAGCCAAGTAGGATGCGGAGGTGGTTCCTTGACAATGATCGCAGTGTTTGTGTCACTCTTGAGAATTTGGATGTTGTGGAGGGTTCTTTCTTAATGGCAACATTTCATTGGTGTTACGTGAATACAAATGGAACCCTGTGTTGTGTCCTTCGGTTGACCGGTCACTGTTTCAAAGGTCCGTTCAACCAACAGGCCACGTTGGTCGGTATGGCACAGTGTTCTTGAGTGGTAGAGAAAGCCCTCATTTCATTGCTTCTGTTGATTAATTGACCATCATCACTGCATAAGTGACAGAGGCAACGAAACTGTGGAAATTAAACTGTCCTCTTGGTGTGGCCACAGGTAGTTTAGCAAGTAGGAATGTTGATTTGTAAGTGTACAGCAAATGTGAGGCTGTTGATTTGTGTGTCGATGGTTTATCTCCCTATAATCGACAGTCTGATGCCCAAAAAGAGAGGCTGCATTTTATTATTTCCCGGGTGAATTTTATTGCCGGATGGAAGTCGATAAAATTGAGGGAAAAGCACAAACATAATATTATGACAATGCTAGTCAAGATAATAAGTTATAATCACGACGATAGTCATAATGTTGGTGACCATAAGAGTGAACAGGGAAATAATGATTTATGAGAGTTATGATGATGAATTGTTCTGAAGGGCCAGTTGCGTTCAGTGTCTCGAATAGATCATCTTCAATTGATGTGGAGGTTTTGCTGTAAACACCAGAGGCCAGGTTCACGAGTCATTTGTATGCGTCTTTCTGGCCCACCGTGACAGATTGGTGCATCGCATGTGAGACACACGCATTAGGGCCCTTAACACACCCACACACGCACAGCAGTCACACACATGAAGGGCCATAACGTTTCACCATAAGCTCTCTCACGGATACACACACGCACACAAAGACGAAATTCAAAAACAAACAGGTCCATACATTTTGATTTAAAGCTTTCGTGACTGCAGGGATTCATATTCTAGGTTCTTTCGGTAAAGTCACGTGGAAGGGAAACAATAAAATAATAAAAATATAAAACAATAAAATTATCACGACGTTTCCACTGCAACGCAAGCAATCATCATCAGGTGTGGTTTTCACAATAAAATAATGAAAATATAAAACAATAAAATTCTCACGACGTTTCGACTGCAACGCAAGCAATCATCATCGTGAGAATCTTATTGTTTTATATTGTTATTATTTTATTGTTTCCCTTCTACGTGACTTTACCGAAAGAACCAAGAATATGAATCCCTGCAATTACACTTTGATATAAAATAAGTACTGTATAAGATATATTGGTTGCCACCACTAGGCAAGTTTCAGGCATTCATATTGCAACACTTAACATCCCTGTTGAGCAACTTTGTTGAAAGTCAATTCGATGCTAGTGCTCGCACATTGCGTCACACCTCCCATGTTTTCCCGAAAACTGCAAAATCCAAAACCATTCTCAATAGTATTCACCAATATCACTCACCACATCTGTATCAACAAAAAACAAAACTCTCAACAATATTTAGAACATGAACGTGCAGATGTAAATGCGCGCGTTAGATCACGTTTGTGTGGGTGAGAGTGCGTTAGAGCACGCGTGTCCGTTTGTTCGTGCGTTTGCGTGTTTCCGTGCACGATTCACTCTGCTCTATTGAACCCCATAAAATGGAGGCACACTCAATGGACTGGCTAGCCAGCTTGTGCTCTCGATTGCATCTGCCTTTAATAGCACATATATTCAGTGGCATAGCGCGGTTGTCATGGGGCCTCCCCCTGTCCAATCTTGGTTCCTCTGTGTATCCTGGCACCTGGGGCCCTCCGGCCTGTAGGTAGCAGTGCAGCTGCACTGCTTGCGCGCTCGGTAACTGCGTCCGCAAATCCCCACCGGAGTCGGGCAGCACGAGGTGGTCGATGAGGTGCACGACGCCGTTGGTGGTCACGATGTCACGCCGCGTCACCTCGCCGCCCCTGCGCAGGCGGATCGAGGAGCCCTGGCACGATGCGACGAGTGCGGGCGCCCCCCCGGCCGTGGGCAGCACCACGTCCTCTCCCAGCAGCGACTCGGAGCAGATCACAGAGCGCATCATGTGGCCCTCGAGCACCACTGCGCACAGCGGCGAGGAGCAGGGATTGGCGGGGAGGAGCACACAACGTGAGGAAGGACATCATCAACCACGCTCCTCAATCCATTCCTGAATGAAGGCCCCCCCCCCCCAAAGCCACTGCCATCACTCACGATGCTGCGATGTGATAATGAACCTGGCACCTGCACACGTGCTGATTTAATAAAAATAACGTGGCTGATGATGAAATGATTATGTGCATTTATATTACATTATACTCTAGGGGGAAGTGCTGCCAGCATGCACCTATTAAGGCCACCACCGTACACTTCTCACAAATGACACTCATACCGAACAACCCGAGAGGGATGATTATCAGCGGAGTGTATTCCTGACCGTGTGAACTTCCGCTTGCCTCTGACCGCAGGACCATTCGGTTTGAGTTATGTGTGTATGATTCAAGATGAGGGAAGAGCTGTGACGCAGTGGTTCGTGCATTGCGTTATGAACGCGGCGACCTGAGTTTGATTCCTGGCCGCGGCCAATGCCAATGGATAATGATATCTGAAACTGTCCTGGGTACTCAACTTTCACCAACCTGAAGCATAGTCAAATAACCAATATGACACGCACAGTGTAGAAGGCCTTGATGCAGGGATGATTTGACAAAAGGAAGAAAACTAAAATTAATGGAGATCATTGGACATGATTATCATAAATTATGTTTTATAAGGACTCGAAGGAAGGAATGTCGAACAAATAGTCTACTACTATATAACCGAACATTAAAACATTGTCTTTGGTTATTTCGGTAAAGTCACGTAGAATGAGAATAAAATAATACATTGATAAAATAAAATAACACAATAATATTGGCCGAAACGTCGTGAGAATATTATTGTGTTATTTTATTTTATCAATTTATTATTTTATTCTCATTCTACGTGACTTTACCGAAAGAACCAAAGAAGATGAATCCTTGCAGTCACGAAAGCTTTAAATCGAAATTTAAAACATTTGGGCCGCAAAACATTGCAGTTCGGATGTAGATTGGTTTCAGACAGAGCAGGGTCAGCCTAAAGTTCAACATTGCTTTAAGTCCCGTGATAAAGACTTAAAATGTTTAATCTCTATGATCGATTTACCAAGTAATTTGACTGTTGAGCGTGTGATGCTAAATCTGATATAAAGTTAGTGTAGCCTGCTGCCAGTTACTAGTAGGGTATATATACACACACACATATATAGTTCTAAACATATATAAATGTATTCCCCTCTGAACATAGGGTTTCCATCAAGGAACCTTACATGGAGCATGTTTTGGTAGAAACATCATCTTCACTTTGACACCGGTTAAATATCGCACAACGCAACCCCTCGAGATGCCAAGAGCATCCACACAAATATAGCGACGGCAGCATTCCGACAACACGCCGACACAGCAGCCTGCCTCGCCCTCCTCCTATCTCCCTCTCTATCCCTGCCTTCACATTCTCCCTCCTGCTCCATCTCACTTCTCCAATGTCCCACCCACACTCTCTCTCTTCCAAACCCTCTCTCCACCTTGTTTCACAGATCTCCCTCCCTCGCTTTCATCCATCTCCCTTCTTTCACGCGTGTGTTATCCCTCATTACCCATCGCCACTTCACTCACTCACAATAACTCACGCCCACCCATATGATTGATCACTCACTAATTCGCTAACAATCGACAGGAATTTAGATACTTTTGCACTGTATCTATTTCACAAATAGCTCATTGGATTTCTGCAGGATAAATACTAATTCTGAATGTGATTATCCACTCTACCTTCCTTTTATTCATCTCTCCGTTCACCAATTCCTCCCTAACTTCTCTGTTAATTTATTTCTCCATTCCTTGCGATTGATCTCTCTATTCCCTGCACTCTTCCTCCTCTCCCCTCACGCATCTTCTTCTTTCGTATGGCTGGTGTAGATGCAGAGCAACAACTAAAGTTTCACATTCAGGTAGTCAAGCCATATCACCGCTTCAGGAGTAGCGAAGTGTATCGCTGTGATGTCTCCTTCGTATTTGTGGACCAGGAATTGCGTCGTTATATGTTGTATGGTCTGTTCTGGATGACCACAGTCGCACACTAGAGAGTTTTTACTTTTTCATTTATGAATCTGCCATGGGTTGTGCAGATGCGATTTAGGGTTGACCATGAGCTTCGTGGAGTTCTTTTGAACTCCATTCAGCTCTCAAAGCTTCATCGGGGTTAATCTCGCATTGTCGGCGGTTAACCGCATGGGTCCAAAAGGGTTTGCATGACTTCAAGCAATGAAGGGGGACGTTATTGAGGTCCTGATGAATGGGAAAGATTTCCCAGAGAGTTGCAGCATTGCGGCAGATGGGTAGGGGAGAGATTTATTGGGGTCGACTTGCAGTGTTCAGTTGGACATCAACAAGTCGAGTTGTGACTACTTCTTGTCCATACTGGTGCACAGTACTCAGCTACAGAGTACACAAGAGCCATCGTTGATGTCCACACCAGTGGTGCTGATACTCCCCAACATGTGCTTGCCAGTCCGATCACGCTCATTTAGGTCATCAGCCACTCCCAGAAATTGGAGGAATCGTCACCATAAATCCTTCACCACGTGCCGAGATTAAACTCCCGTGCCACGTGAGGGGGCCCGCATGGCCCCGTGCCAGCACCACTAAGGACATGCGTTCACACCATGGGAATGGGCATCCTTATCTCTTCGTGGCTCATAATGGCTCTGTTCACAGCTTAAATTAGAACTTCTGGACTGGGTTCAATAATTAGGGCTATGTTGTGCCTCTCTCAGAGACTCAAACTGACCTTAGTAGGACAGTGAAACAGCGCCCCTGACGGCATGGGTTCACACATTGATCCATTCTATCTGATAAAGATACTGAGATGTCAGTCGATGCTTTTTTAATTTCTGAGTTAGAATACTGTGGCGTTTTGTTTGTTCACCTTGTCGATTCTACACTGTCTCGGTTCCAACTGGTTCAATATGCTGCAGCCACAGTGCTCACTCGCGTATGCCATTCACAATACATTACTCCTATCCTCTATTCACCACACTGGTTCCCTGTACATTTCATGACTGTTTTAACATTTTGCTGGCTAATTTTGCTGAACTTTCGGAAGCTCCTTACAGTCGTCTAAAATTAGGAGGGGCGAGGACCTTTATTTGTTACGCTTCCTGTCTCCGGAAATATCCTCTAAGTCATATCAGGGATGCTGGCACAATTTAATCTTTTGAATAAAAAAAAACACGTTTGTTTAAGTTGGCCTCTTTTCAATCCGGATGGATTGCCTTTTTGGGGTTTTAATCGTAAATCATTGTAAATCACTGTTGGATGCTCTGAAAATTATAGAGCTTGACTATACATTCGCAGATCGCAGCTACGGTCAGAGCAGGTTTCTACCACCTCCGAACACTCCGAGGATTGCGCCCGCTCCTCTCTGCCCCAGACCTGGAATCATTAGTTCATGCCTTTGTGTCAACACACCTGGATTATGGTAACGCCCTCTACACAGAGCTACCAACTTGGATTGGTGCAGATGCTACAGTTAGTACAGAATGAAGCTGCCCAGATGATCAGGCGGGTTAGCCGTTTTGAACACATTACACCTACCCTCCGCAGCTTGCACTGGCTACCGTCTGCTTCTGCATCCAATTCAAGATTACTCTCCTAACATATAAAGCACTGCATGGCTTGGCCCCTATTTACTGTACCTACGAAACCACTTCTCCCTGCAATCCTCAGGCGCACACACTGAGGATTGTTCAGCCACCGCTGGTGGGAAATGGGGCCTTCTCAAGCGCAGCCCCAAAAATCTGGTTCACCCTGCCACTGGACGTCCGAAACACGCCGAGTGTTTCGCAATTCTGTGGTCTATACAAGACACATCTGTTCAGACTTGCCTTCCCATAATATCTCAAATGTAAGGGGGAAAAAAGTCCTGTTTATTGACTTATTTATTTCATTCACTACTTATCTTTCTTATGCTATTGCATTTGTGAACCCGAGACCTGGGTCTCTTGCTCTCTTCCTCTCGGAGGCTCATATTGGCCATGTTAGAGGAGGCACTCAGAGCAAGAACCTCTATGGGCTACAGTCTAAGCTCTGAGAGGCACCCAAGCCCCAGGAACTGAACCCAGGCTCTCAGTGGCGCTGCCTCGGTGCTGCAACACCGGCGTAATGAACTCTGTCTGCCCCGTCGTCTCCACATGAATCATTCATTTAATTACGGAATTCTGAATATAAATTTTAAACAAACATAATAAAAGTTCAGTAAACTGCAAATATGCAGGAAATACTGCTCCTAAGTAAACTGTGAATAGTTTGCCACAGATTCCCATGGGGTCATTTGTTGAGGATTAAAGAGAGAAAATGTTGTTTGAGACAAGGACGTTTGTGTTATTAGAGCACTCAATGGTTTATCAAAACATCCGCCGTTTGGCCTTGTAAACGGCTGGGATAAGTTATGTTAGCAAGCACCTATTAAGGCTGGCACAGCACACAAGGGGGGGGAGTGTGGCCTTGCATAACAATACGCCACATATAACTCACTAATGCTGATGTTCAAACACCAAATTGGACATCAGATTTACAGTTGACCTCATGGAAGTCAGCATGGTGCTTTAAGGAGGGGTCATGTGAATAGCACCAAACATCTTATTAGCACGATTGGCTACATACAGTGTGAAAGAAGTTCAAACACACATACATACAGTCGTGTGCTAAACCATCTTTGTCTTCCCAGATATTAAAATATCTGATTCACGTGTTGCTGGCAAATTTTCGATTGTGCCTAACTTTTTGTGGAAATGTACCGATGTGTTCATCACCAGTAAATGGACAAATCATAAAAGTGATGCATTTCCGCCGTTTCTTCAGGATGTGAATCCAACCCCATGACCACATGCACCCTATATTACTCATTTAAGACTGAGTCGGTTTAAGGGATGCCCAGGCTTGGTTCAAATGCATAAATTTAGACCAGGGCTGTTCAAGCTTTTTTGGAGACCCTGGGCAAAATATCAGATGAGGCCCTATCTGAAGCCCCTTCAGATCTTTTTGAGGCCTGGCAGATCTCGTGCCCAAAGCAGATTACCACACCGGCCCCCCTGTCTCTACAGCCCTTAGCTAACGATGTGTGGTGGTGGGTTCATGAGAGATGTTGGAGGGGGATGGAGCTGGGCAGTGGAGGCAGGGCTAAGGTGATGCTGTGGATTTTAAGTAGGAAAGAACGACATTGCCTTTGCTTAGGAGATGAGAGGTAGGACACTATACGGATTAGTTTAACAAAAAGGGGTTTGAATCCCTGTCTTACAATCTACAGAACTGTCTATAACCCACTCTCTTGGTTACATGACCTCTTCACTGATTTTTTTAAATTTAATATACTAGAGCACGAGTGTTGAATAGGACTTTCAAATCTCTTTGGTGGGTCACACACATTAACACATCCCTCTGTGTTGTCCAATAATAAGGTAAGAGTGTCGACCAGGCCTTTGCAGTGACTGAGTAGGCAAAACTTTGAAACACAAATTGAATATGTTCCCGTCTAGTACCTGCTTACTGGGGCCCTACAAAATCATTTTACAATTCATTATACCATCGAAAAGAATGCCTTAAAAATATCATAGTTACTTGACTGATAGTATTGAATCAACCTGCTCCTACCCCCATACCATGAGGGTGTATAGCTGGAGGGACGCAATTTCTTGTGAGTCCCCTCAGTCCACCAAGTAAGGGGCTAATATTTCCCCTGCCTCCACCCCGTGGTGCCCGCTGTGCCATAGGATTCCCGAAAAAGTTGCCTTACTCTTGAGGGTTTTGGGGTCGCCCATGATGCGATCCATTGTCTCCTTTGGAACCCTCTCTATGGCCTCATTTGTCGGAGCAAAGAGCGTAAGGGGCCCCTCGGATGACAGGAGGGGCATCATCCCAGCCTTCTCCATCAAGACCTGCACACGGAGACATGGAGACACGAAGCATGGAACACCAGAGAAGCAGACCTGGGGACAAGGGGCATGGGGACAATAGAAGGTCATGCTAAGATCACGAAGTGAACATGAAGATTGGGGAAGGAAACAGGAGGTGATATAAAGTCTATGTTGAGTTTAAGGGTGGTCTAAACAAGGAGATTAGATTTTGGAATACAGGAAAGACACTAGGCAGGCCCCTTGGCAGCATGGCCTACAGAAAGGAGATGCAACGTGGGGTGATGACTATGGAGACCGCAGGTGATTTCGAGACAACAGCAATTGGCTAATTAGATAAGTTTGAATGTATGTGAGTTGTGTATGCGTGTGTGTGCATGAGAGTGTGCATGAATGTATAGGCACGCGTGTGTTTTTCTATGAATGTGTCTGTGCCTGAGTGTACGTAGTACCTTCAGTGACTCCAGTTCAGCGGTAAACTCCACAATCTCAGAGATGCGGTTTGAGACAGGAACGATGACTCTGTCGATCGTATGAACCACGCCATTTGTGGCCAGGAAGTTTGGACGAATTAATCGAGCACAGTTTACTGTCACCACCTGAAATAAACAACCACTACCATCATTTTGCCATAACCACAAATGTGCTGCAGGACAACTGCCACCAGTTCCAAAGAAGGATCATTCACACACCGTTCTACACCTCCGATTTGTCATTTGAGATCATATAAAACTGTGATGCATCGCTGTCAGGAGGTAATGGCTCAGACACATGATGGGGTTTTTATGAAAAAAAATATGTTCTCGAATAAGTGCCATGTATGACAATTAAAAGGATGTAGGAAATGTATAGGATGAACAAAGAGGTATACGTCCTTCCAAATATGACTCAACAGGATAAAAGTGCACTTATCCAAAATATTGTTAAATAAATACATTTAGGATGCGGTGAATGAGACTGAAGTTGTGATAAGCCACGCTTGACACATTCTATCGAACCACAGACAGTTACACTCAGGACATGAAAAACATGTTAACACACTGCACCAGTTACTCATTTTAGGCTGAGTCAAACTTGGGGAGGCCTGGGGCCAATGCACATTTGCAGCACTGATGTAAGCTTTGGCCAGGTATCAAACTCGGGTTACAAGGTTCATAGCACTTTTCACTAACCACCACGTCACTACTCCAATACACATACACATGTATGCGCATACAGAGACAAAGATCCTCCATATAGCCTTAACAGACTATTGGGGCAAGTGCTGTTAGCGAGTGCCTATGAAGGCCGCCACGGCACATGAGGGGGTGGGTTGTCAGCACTATGCCCGGCCACCTTTGTCTCCCTTGTGATGTTTTTACGCACCACACCTGGTACTCATTTGAGGCTGAGTCGACCTGGGGGAGGCCCAATACCGGTTCAAATAATCGTCATTGGTGTTGGCCGTGAGTGGGAATCGAACTCGGGTCACCGAATTCATGGTGCAGCGAGATAACCACTGTGCCACCGCTCCCCACACACGTCTATACACACAGAGATCCACACATGCACACACACATGACTGTATACACAAACATCAATAAAAATGACTATACACACACACGCCCAGACACAGATACCCACGTGCACACACACGTCCATACAGACAAACACTCGCACGCACACACACGTACACACACATGTCGTCTGCATGACCCCTGACCCCATTGCTGTGGTGGTTGATGAAAAGCGGTTGGTTCTCGTAGTTGGAGGTGAGGACGAGTCCGTCTCGGAGGTCGCTTGTGAGCAGGCGCCGGGAAACCATGTGGTAGCTCAGGGCATTCCTCAGCTCCAGATTCACATTGCTCACCAGAGCCTCTCTGATATCCTGGCCGCAGGAAGGCGGCAGAGGGAGGAGAGGAAAGGGGACATCACAGGCATGGGCTCACAGGAAGCATTGCTGGAGTCCGTGGTGGTGCAGAAGTCATGGTGATGGTCTACACAGTGCCAAGAGGTAAATGGGTGCAGTGGAGACTGGATAGGGGATAAAATTGTACAAGCCGGAGAGCCATGTGCTTTAATAAAGCTGCACGTTGCATACCCTATCCTTCCATGAGCTTCCTAATGTAATCTGCAAGCACCTGTATCCCAAGTCCAGACATTTATTATTTGTACAAACTTTTGTAAATGATTAAATAACAAATACTGAAGCGCTGCCTATTTTTATTATTATATTGGTGCTTGTGAAGAAGTAATAATAGAAAGCAGCAAGATTGTGAGTGTAAATTAATTAATATACTTGGGAAGTCTACTAACACGGAACAACGACTGCACGAAAGGCATAAGAGAGAGGATCACAAAGGGAAAAGGAAAAAATGGCAGGATTATATAACATCCGGAGAAGCCAGGAATTCAGCTACAAGACCAAACTGAACATCTTAAGAACATGCGTGTTCAGCAGTACAGCTTTGAATGCCTGCAAGACTTGGAGATTCGCACTAGAAATGTATTGCTATAAGAGGGATAGTGCATCTAAGCTGGACCCAAAGAGTGCCCAATGTAGAAGTAAGAAAACGATTGCACATAGAAGAAGACCTGATGCAGGCAGTGAGGAGAAGGAAATTGTCACTATTTGAACACATATGTGGGATGGACAGCAACAGGAAAATTCAAAGTGTGTTGTTCGGAAAAATGGAAGGAACTGGAAAGAGAGGAAGACCTAATAGAGAATGACTTGACAGAAGAGGTTGGTGCCAGGAAGATGTGCACTACGTGCGCATACTTGGCCAAGACAGAAGAAAGTGGAAACATGACAAAATGTGCAATGGACACCTATGGGCTATCTGCCCATCGATCGTGATGTGATGATGATGATGATGATTGGTGCTTGTGAATGTTTAACCACCCAAAGCGATCACGGCCACAGTGCCAGCAATTGTAAAGAGACACAGTGCCTTATAAAGCCATATTATGGGTCCATGTATGGGCCGTACCTCAGACAGAGCCTCCCAGGCCTCGTCACTGGGCGTGAAGACTGTGTGGATCCCGGAGGCCTCCACGTTGGGTCTCAGGCCAGAGATGTTGAAGTAGCTCTGTGTGGACATGGCCTCCACGTACTCCATGGTATTGTAGACGTTCTCCATGGGTGTGACTGCCAGCAGATAATCCAGGCTTACATTTGGTCAAGAAAGTGGCATTTCTCTTGTCCATGCTGATATGGGGAGGGTGCTGCGAGCGGATACTTTTAGCCAACATATTGCTTGATTCTCCTACAGATACTGACCCCCACCATGGGAATGTGGAATTTCCACCACTAGCTCAGGGCTTCCAAAGCCGAAGGGCATTGCTCCATTGCTCGTTTATGCAAGTGTATGAGCGTATATATATGTGTACGAGCATACTATACATATGTGCGCGAGTGCACGTATCCCTTTTAAAAGGCAGTTGGGCATGGTTCTGGCCACAACACTCATTCGCTAGTTGTTCCAGCCTTAATAGGCGCTCGCAAACAGCCATTTTTAACAGTCTATGTAGGCTCCATGGGGACTCTTTGTCCTTTGTATCCCTTATAAATCTGCAGATAATATGACTCGGTGGCTCTAAATGTGGGCGAGATTGCTGTATATTAACATGACATTCCAGTCTTGCATCGTGGCCACTGCAAACGAGAAATAGCATCGGCGTCGACGCACTCGTGCCCAATTGCTATCCACATGAATGCACTCTAATGGCTATGACTAATTTAAGTGTTGTGTGCTAGCATGTATGGCATGTGAACACCAAGCCAGAAAAATACTGAACCCTTACATGGGTCTGTCCCATGTGTAATAGCCATTTAGAGATGCACATTTTAATGGGATAAAAACGATTCCTACACTCACAACGCATGTATCCAATTGAGTGTGTCATATATTACTTTTCAATTATGCAAATTATAAGCTGTTGCATATAGGTAAAGAAGTGAACAAGACTACAAACTAGACATAGCAAATCATAAACAATAAAAAGCCAACATTCGAATCGAATCAAAACCGAAATCATGGCAATTCATCTAAATTATTGTGGAGGGGTATGAATCCTTATATCTCACATAAGGATTCTAAACGATTATTGATCAATTATTAAAGCCCAATCCGATTATTGATTTAGCAATGGCTATTCATTTATTTATAATCGGTTTGGACTTGATTATCGATTCCAAAGTGTATAAATCAATAACTGAATACCGTGAAATTTTAGTAAAGAACGTTCAAACCACATAGTACTCCTCAGTCACCGCGTGGCACATTACAACGGACTCACACGTACGAGACTGTATTATTATTGTTAGACATTTTGATCATTATCATCAGCTATGATCTATCCACTGCTGGGTGAAGGCCTCCCAATGTCTCCATCCATACTTGTGTAATGAGCGACTTCCAGACACGACATGTAGAGGGCTTCTCATTTATTTCTAACACTTGCAGGCACAACAATCACTGAGCGCCATATATATATATACATAGGGCTACGCATAGCTGACACATCCACACATCCCCATCGTCGGCGTCTAACTATATAGCTGCCTGACTAATATAGCAACAACGACGATGATAGCCGTACAGCGGATCGGCCATGCGGACGGACGATGAAGAGAGATGACGGCGAAGACAGTGACGGCAGCCAGGACCCAAACCTCTGGTCCCGTCCCCCTTATATACTCCTCGGCGTGGCCAGGCCCCGCCCCCGGCCACGCCCCATTCTAGAACCTTCGAGCAGGTTCCCGGAGCTTCCCGACTGACCCCGCCTTTAACCTTTAGCCCAGTTACGCCCCCTTATAGTTGGTTATTATATCACGCACCCATACCCGCGATTATCCCTCCTGGCCAACAGATGGCACCCTGTCATTACACTTGTATCGCACTAACGTTGTTGTGGATGCAGTTAAGGTTATAGCTATGTCGTGACAGTGGTGGTTGTGGTTAGGGTTGTAGTCTTTTACTTGCAGAGCAGCCATTTATGCCGTCCACCTTCACGTATCCCGGGCAGCAGTCATAGGTCACCACTCTGTTCGAGATGCAAACACAAATATTCACATTTAGCTTCTGAGATTATTGAGGCAAATGCTTTTATTAAGCACCTGATGTGGTTGGAATTTTTTTTCACAGTTGCAGAGCACAGGCCTATGGAGTGGCCAGAAACAGAGAGCAATTATGACAGACCAGCAGATAAGAATTTACTGGTTTCTTGCACTGTGCAGGGTGCTGTGAACTCGGGGAAAGATACATTATGAAGGATTTCCAAAGTTGAGCAGTAAGATGAATGAGAGACTCGGATAAATGTTGTTTGCTATGTTGTGGTTGTTGTCAATCACATTTCTTATGATCACTGTTACATTGTTTTATAGCAATATTTTAGTATTGTTTCCCTTCTACGTGACTTTACCGAAAGAACCAAGAATATGAATCCCTGCAGTCACAAAAGCTTTAAATCAAAATATTTTAGTAATTTCTAGAAAGGCTTAATTTAGCCTGATTTTTTATGTAGTATATAGTTATACTTACAATTTTTATCTATATTGTATTATGATTGTTATTGTGTTCTAACATAAAAATGGGATTATTTTGCACATTTTTGTACGCAGCATAAACAAATGGTGCTTTTTCTGGAAGATATTGTTTTTGTAGGGGATGTTTCAATTTGTTTGTTGCGGTTGCTCCCGAATCAAGAGCCAAATGGCTCACAGGGTTATTCCAAATAAATGAAATGAAACTGATCATGTTAGAAAACAGCAAATCTGGTGAACTTTGACATTGGTGGAGAGATTGAGACGTAAGGTTCATGAGCACAAAAGCTGCTGTGCCTCTGATGAGCACGGGTGGCTACGTATGGTGCAAAAGAAGTTCAAAATACATTCATACGGCAGTAACGATATGAGTAAAAAGGAATAGACTGAAGCGTTGTGATGGAGTTATCGGAGTGAATCGGTGATTTTGGGAGCATCAATCAACTTAACCACTTTACGTTGTACTGTATTTAGCCGAGAGCAGAATCAGATGTCACTGTCGTTCTCCCACTCCAGCTGGACTTGTGCTTTGTACGGTGCCAGTAAGTGATTAGAGGTGAAGAAAGCTTTGGCTCTAAAACGAAATCCAAGCGTTTTCAACACCTCCTTAGCCAGATTATCAAGGTGGCTGTTCTGTGACGGTTCACATTGAATGGCCGTGCTAAGCAGATTGATGTATTAACTGGGGATATGATTAGCATTGTTAAATGTGACCAGAGGAATAGTTGAATTGACATCTAGCTTAGGTGATATAAGCATGAACTGGGTTGTCTTTGAGTTGGTAGTGATCAGGTATTTTGTCAGCTTGAACATGGGTTATTTTATAGCCAATGGCGACAGTGAAATCTATTTCTACCTGCCTGGAATAAGTCCTCGACTGAACGACGAGGCCAATATCATATATGCTTAGCCACCTTTGTCTTTCCAGTGATCACGTGATAACATCAGTTGCAAGTGGTATTAGAACATGTATTGGGTCTCCCTTAAGTTTCCTCGGCCTTAAAAGGTGTGGAGACAAAAGTGACCGTATGTGGACCTCCTCCTCTACTAGGCAAACCTTTAATAAACTAAACTACAGTATTAAAATGTTATCAAGTAAGGCCCACTGAGCTATAAAGCTATTTTTCAGAAGCGACCTGGCCACATAGCTCAACGAAGTGGCTTATCATGTAGAAATGTACAGCAGCCAAACACTCTAAATGCATTATTCTAAATGTGGGTGGAAAAACGGGAGGATCCGGAAAAAAATCCACGCGACCACGGGGAGAACATGCAAACTCAAATATACAGCCGTCGGGCGAGGTAGTTAACATATCACCACCGTGGCTCCCTACGGTGGCAAGATGCGTGCTCGCAAAAGCATGGCCTTTTTCATTGTATGTGTGTATCTATAACTGTAGTATATCTGTGTAGTACCTATGAACATGAGTATCTGGAGTCTGTATATTATTGTGTAGGCATGTGCATATTTGTAGAGCCTGTGATCAAATCACCCGGAATGTGCCAGATTTTGTCAGGTCTTGGAAACTAAACAGACTTGATCCTGGATACTGCTTGTATGGGTAAACAACATGAACGGTTCTTATAGGCTGCTGTGCGATTACGCGGTGGGAAGCAAAGGGCAGTGCAGCTATATTTATGGTTGTAATTTACTTCTGTGCTCCCACGACTCTGCTGTCCACCTTCAACCCGCTCTCACCAGCATCGAGAAATATGGCCAAATTATTCCCACAACCCAGCCAGTGTAGGGAGGTCCCAGGGCCTTCTGGGGTAAATGACACCTTGTGGACCCCCCCGACGCCTTCAAACGGTACCAGATTAGACATACCCTAAGGATCGCTCTGGGGAAGCCCATATCCACCAGTGGATTGACAAACGGCGGTTTACACGTGCAAACTTATTTGAGCGTGTGTGCATGTGTCTGAGAGTATGTGCAACATATCGTGCAAGGAATTGCGTGAATGTGTCTCGTTTAAGCTTGGGGCATGTAGTAGTGCATTGAGTCTTGCCACTTCAGTGATCTTGCACAATAAAAAGCAGGTTAATCAGCAATCAAACGAGAATGTTTCTATTAGTAAAAAATTATCACGTTAAAATTCCTGCTTTAATGTTTTCTCAACCGGTAATGTTAATCTGTGCGCGTGTGTGACTGCTGTGTGTGTGTAGTGTAGCGGTTAGCGCTGCGCTGCGCTATGAACCCGGCCGCCCGAGTTCGATTCCTGCTCACGCCCAACACCAGTGACAATGATCTGAACCGGTTCTGGACCTCCCCTAGGGCGACTCAGACTCCCGGTCCTGGAACTCCCCTAGGTCGACTCAGACTCAAATGAGTACCTGGTGCGATGTGTAAACATCGCCACTCAGGAAGACAAAGGCGGAGGGCGTGGTTCTACCCCCACCCGCCCCACCCCGTGTGCCGTGCCGGCCTTCATACGTACTCGCTAACAGCACATGTCCCAACAGTCTGTAAGCTACACGGGGGATCTTTGTCCTTTTATGTCACAGTGTGGGTAATGTGACCCTTACAGTGAGGGAAAAAAGTATTTGATCCCCTACTGATTTTGTACGTTTGCCCACTGACAAAGAAATGACTAGTCTATAATTTTAATGGTATGTTTATTTGAACAGTGAGAGACAGAATAACAACAACAAAAATCCAGAAAAACGCATGTCAAAAATGTTATAAATTGATTTGCATTTTAATGAGGGAAATAAGTATTTGACCCCTCTGCAAAACATGACTTAGTACTTGGTGGCAAAACCCTTGTTGGCAATCACAGAGATCAGACGTTTCTTGTAGTTGGCCACCAGGTTTGCACACATCTCAGGAGGGATTTTGTCCCACTCCTCTTTGCAGATCTTCTCCAAGTCATTAAGGTGTCGAGGCTGACGTTTGGCAACTCGAACCTTCAGCTCCCTCCACAGATTTTAGATGGGATTAAGGTCTGGAGACTGGCTAGGCCACTCCAGGACCTTAATGTGCTTCTTCTTGAGCCAACCTTTTGTTGCCTTGGCCGTGTGTTTTGGGTCATTGTCATGCTGGAATACCCATCCACGACCTTTTGATGCGGTGAAGTTGTCCTGTCCCCTTAGCAGAAAAACACTCCCAAAGCATAATGTTTCCACCTCCATGTTTGACGGTGGGGATGATGTTCTTGGGGTCATAGGCAGCATTCCTCCTTCTCCAAACACGGCGAGTTGAGTTGATGCCAAAGAGCTCCATTTTGGTCTCATCTGACCACAACACTTTCACCCAGTTGTCCTCTGAATCATTCAGATGTTCATTGACAAACTTCAGACGGGCATGTATATGTGGTTTCTTGAGCAGGGGGACCTTGCAGGCGCTGCAGGATTTCAGTCCTTAACGGCGTAGTGTGTTACCAATTGTTTTCTTGGTGACTATGGTCCCAGCTGCCTTGAGATCATTGACAAGATCCTCCCGTGTAGTTTTGGGCTGAATCCTCAACGTTCTCATGATCATTGCAACTCCACGAGGTGAGATCTTGCATGGAGCCCCAGGCCGAGGGAGATTGACAGTTCTTTTGTGTTTCTTCCATTTGCGAATAATCGCACCAACTGCGAATAATCGCACCAACTGTTGTCACCTTCTCACCAAGCTGCTTGGCAATGGTCTTGTAGCCCATTCCAGCCTTGTGTAGGTCTACAATCTTGTCCCTGACATCCTTGGAGAGCTCTTTGGTCTTGGCCATGGTGGAGAGTTTGGAATCTGATTGGTTGATTGCTTCTGTGGACAGGTGTCTTTTATACAGGTAACGAGCTGAGATTAGGAGCACTCCCTTTAAGAGTGTGCTCCTAATCTCAGCTCGTTACCTGTATAAAAGACACCTGGGAGCCAGAAATCTTTCTGATTGAGAGAGGGTCAAATATTTATTTCCCTCATTAAAATGCAAATCAATTTATAACATTTTTGACATGCGTTTTTCTGGATTTTATTGTTGTTATTCTGTCTTTCACAGTTCAAATAAACCTACCATTAAAATTATAGGCTGATCATTTCTTTGTCAGTGGGCAAACGTACAAATCAGCAGGGGATCAAATACTTTTTTCCCTCACTGTATGCTCGAGTAGTAAGTGAAAGCCTATGTGTGTAGGTGTGTGAATATTGGTGGTGGACCGACTCACCACCCTGCCCCGCACAGACACTGACTCATCGAAGAATTATCGCGATTCAAATGAATGGATTGCGCTGACTGGAAGTGCCTCTTGTGGCTGCAGATAAATTACATTGTTTATCCTTTGGCAGGGTGATTAGCAACGTTATATATAGGCCTGTATGTTAATGTTGAAGTTGGTGTGCCAGTTCAGGGCTACGGGGGTAGTGTTGTGAATGTCTGAGATGCTGCCAGCTAAAATGGTCGAAGTATGTGGGGCATTGTTGCCATTCTATACAATGACATAGGAATATAAGGGGCCGTCCATAAATGACGTCACGCGATTTTGGACGATTTTTGACCCCCCCCCCTCGTCACACGGCGTCACA